AAGGATCTAGAGCTTGTCTGCACTTTCGCGCTTCTTAACACATTGACGACATTGAGACGCGGTAACGCGTCTCACTTTGCGCACCTCGTTGGACATTGAGACGCGTTACCGCGTCTCACCCTTATCATCCCTTTTTCTAGGGCATGCGCAGCTTTTTCCCGAATTGTTTGTCTCTCTTCTATGGATTAGAACATAACATTATTGTGAACGACATAGGTCATTGTTTGTTCAAATATGCTCCAGTTTAGAAGAAGTTTTCCAAGCTCACCGAAACCGGCGGCTTGGTTCATTAATAGTTTTCATGCTATTCTCATGAACACGTCAATAAAAAAGGGTAGTGAAAGTAAATGCAAATCTAAAGAGACAGAAAAATACATGTTTCACTTGGTATAACCACATCAAAAGAGCTTTTGGCATCCACTACAGATAAAATGACTAAAGTTTCCTTTTTCATTACCATTACATGTTCTTTAATCGGAACTTCGTCACTATATACTCTATTACCTTCTACGCATTGACTGTTACTGAGATGTTTTTGTACCACTGGTGCTTTAAAAAGTTATCAATAAAAATTCACGGATCCGAGGTGCGGCGGTCGCACTCGCAAAATCGGCCCGGTCCCACACGGCCAAAAAAGCCAAAACGCGCGCGGTCGTCAATGTGTTGTTGAACAAGTATTTCCCTGACGATGAGATATGGAGCCATAAGTGATGAATCTTGCGGTAACGTCAACATGATTCCAGAGTTTGTTAAAAAAAGTCAGTTAGAGTATGGTTCTAAGCAGGCGTAACCAGTGTAATTCTTCTGCGCTTTGCACAAATGAAAAACCCTACCACGTTCTCTATGTTCTGGCCTTATCTTCGTAATTCGTAAAAGTTATGACTCTTATAACTCCTCACCGAATTCTCATTTAACACTCCTGCATATTTCTCGAATTGTTCGCATCAATTTTCCATGATTTGGGTCAAACAACACTATGGACTGACCCAGCCTTCTATCGCTAAGGAGTCAGATATTCAGGCCTAAACCTAAGGAGAAACGGCGACTCGAATCTCGTTCAAGATCATGCAATTGAGCACCTGAATTCTGAGTTGGTTGTGTTCCTATTACACGGCCATTTAAAAGGATGTTTCCTTTTAACGTGTCAGGATCAATTCATTAGGTGCTTCATGGTTGTTTCGATGAAGGTATGCTGGTGCTACAACGACGTGAAGTCCGGCGTAAAAATCGCTTCAATTTCGGAGAAATTCAATAATTTCACAGATTGATATTTCTATGAAACAATCTCTCTATACCGATCACAAGAATGCTGAGTTTTGGAGAACTTTTTGTGGGCGAGTAACTGCGGCGTATATTAGCAGTTCAACAAAAACCATCTCGATAGCTCCTATTCTTGCAGTACATCCGCGACCCAATTGAAAGTCGTCATGGCGTTTGAGAAGAAAATGACAGCTGATTTGGCATTTATTTATTAATTAATGGGTTATTTATGGGTTATTTAATGGGTTATTGGCATTGTTGATGAATTGCAATTAAATCGATGTGTGAATGATAAGGGAGAATGTACCACGTGTGGGGCGACATTTTTTTGAGTTGGCTTGTTTACCCAGTCACTATTGAGACATCCATTTCATATCAGGTGACCTCTCCCTTTCGGGCATATCGGCGACGTTTGGCGTTTTCTAGACACGGTCACCTCACAATCAGAAGATACTACGAAGCAATATTGGTCAGACCTAGGCAGGATGCCCATAAATGTGTACGAGATCCAAGTTCAAAATCAAACCCGATGAGTCACCCATATATTCACTTTGTTAAGGGCATAAACCTTAACTCCTAGAGACTTGAGATACCCTGTGATAGTGGCATGTAATGAGCGAAAATCTATGCAAAGTAACCTGTGCGCTTATACCAGTGGTGAGACATCAAACTAGCGATAAGGAGCAGATCGTTCCTCGTCACATTTCTCCTTTTCTAAGTGAAGCTGAACATTGTGCTACCGAATGTATAGCTCTCATTTTTATCAACAAAGGCTTCACCATAATTCAAGAGGGCTGAGACAGTGATATCGGTGTAAAAGGTTATATGAAGAAGTTATTCGCGGGTGGATAATCGCTTCAAGAACTCAGTCGAAATGCTCATACAACGGTGTGCGGGTAGGAGCGGAAAGAAAGATTAAGACTGGTTTGGCCGCATCGCACCTGCTCGCCCAGTCACACTTGTAAAAAATTCCGGCCGAATTGCCCAATATGAATGACACTCTGTCTGAAGAGAAAAGGGCGCCTCGAAAGCTCCACAGTTCGAAGTTTATTGAGGAAGACAATATGAGCCAGGACCCGAAACACCTGCAAGACGGGTTGGCTACTTTAGACTCATGCATGCCACCACTGGAGCGGTCCCGAAGCTCGTACAAACTACATATAACACGCCGAGCAAGCAAGCTTGTCTTCCAGCTTTTCCGTTGTTGCGATGCAGTACGAATATTTTTGTACTTTTACAGTGTCTCGATTCAAATTGCGGTGTCTCATTTACTTTGTGACCAGATATAACCCTGTGCAATGAACGACAGGAATAGATGAGTGGTGTATGCTGCAGATCCAAACTTGCATGAAACCTCGGCTGTCAATAAATCAATAAAAAACTCGCAAAGAGTTAAACTGTAAAAAGCCAATAACCACATCTTGCCGAGGTTTTTCTTCACATGGCAAATTTACATCGTATCAGGAACCCCTGGCAGAAGCCTTGCCTCTTCGAAAATATTCAACCACAATACAAGACTCAGCCATTCTCGCAGCGGTCAAAGAGGATCCTAAAGCTGGCCCACATGCAATGGCAGCGACGTTTAAGTGTCATCATAGAACGGTGAACAACGACAAGTCTTGACTCGATGGATTCCCCTGCTTTGGCCGTTGGTACACGGTACATCCGGGAGACCTCTGTCAGTTAACATTAGGTCGCAACGAAAGTCCTTGCGGATTTCTTCAAAGTCCTGACAAACGGCTGCGCATTAACCTGGAGGGGAAATTTTTAACCATATACAGGAATGGTGATATTCCTTCATATTCTCGAGTCTCACCTCCTGCACGCTTTTGGAAGCCTGGAAAATGCCATACGTTTCTACCCATGTACGCCACTGACTTTCTTTGCGAATTTTGTCTGGGACACACAGCGAGCGAAGCCTGCCGCAAAATATGCTCTGTGGAAGTAGGGGGAGTGGTAAGTGAAAAAACCTGCCAACTTTGGTTCAGAAGGCTCCGCGAAGGAAACTACAACCTCGAAGATGGACGCCCAACGAAAGTTAATTTCGAACGTTTGGAGCTGTTACTTCAAGACTTTCCGCATGCAAGCGCCATGGAGCTGGCAAAGGAGATGCACTGCTTCAACATGGCCACAGGTCGTGTTCATCACATGCTGGAAAAAGTTCAAGAAACTTGGTCGATTGATCCCGCATGAGCTGACAGAGCAGTCCAAGAAAAGAGGTATCGAGGTGTGCAGAGGTTTTCTTGCAAGGAGCCGCCGTTTCGATTGGCTGGATAATGTCATTACTGGAGATGAAAAGTGGGGCTCTACGTATGTCATACCAGAAGAAGACAGTGAATGGGTGCGAACCAGAAGCCAGAGCCTGTTCCAAAGCAGGAGGTTCATCCCAAGAAAGTTCCTCTGTCAGTTTGGTGGAGAGTTCGGGGAACACGTCATTACGAGATGCCAGACAATACCACCGTCGACGCTGAGGTGTACTGCTCACAACCACGAAGGCTCGCAGCTGAAGTCGCGAAACTTCGCCCGAAGCTGGACGAAGTCCTTCTTCTTCATGACAACGCGCGACCCATGTTGCAAGGGTAACCCAGGACACATTGGCGGAACTTGGATCTGCGGTTTTACCCCATCCTCCATATTCGCCAGGTCTTGCACCTACGGATTACCACCCACTCCTTTCCCTGGCTCACTTCTCAAAGGATAAAAAGTACGACAACTTGTCAACAGTTGAAAGCGGACATGGGCACTTCTTCGACTCGAAGCCTGCCGAATTTTGAAGGAGAGGCATTTGTTTCCCTTGTCGACCGATGGCGGACTGGTTGTAGGTGCTTGTGGGAATTATTATTCGGAATAAAGTTCAATTCAAAGAAATATGAGTTTTTGAAATTGAGGGTCGAATCCGCAATTACTTTCGTTGCGACCTGTTACTGCTACTCCCGCATCGAAAGGAGTTTTTAGACTAACTGGTTACTAAATATGAGAGTTCGTTCTATATGATGTTAGCGTATGGCTCTCGCGGTGTGAGGACTCCTCCACATAGGAAAGTCGAACCTGCATCTCGGGAAGATTATGCTACACTGTTTCTGGGACTCAGAGCGATTCTGCACCACGAGCTGCTCCTGAAAAGTTACATAGTCACCGCTCTCATGTACGTGAAGCTGGAACTCCCGGAAGCTGTTCGAAAGAGGTGGCCACAAGCTCTAGATAACCTCTTCACGACGGCGCCAGGCTTCGTGTAGCAAAAGAAATCCAGCTAAGAATCTAGCAACTAGGCTGAGAACCGTGCTCCCATCCACCACATTCCCTGACATAATCCTTTCCCAATCGCTTGTTACTGTTATGGCGTTCGCTATAAAAAAACATCAGAATGCTCTCCGAACGTAACTCTTGAAAATTATTTTTCCTCTTCCTAGACAACTGAATTCTTCGGTTCCAGAATTGTTTTGTTGATCAATAAACTAGAGTGCTTAGTGGATCGATCAATGGCAAGAATGACATCGGGTCCCTCACTGGTACTTAACACGCTATAATTGGAGAAGCACATGTAGCGATGAAGCCTTCAACGCTTAGACAAAATTTTGCTTAGAGAATGAAGATAGCTCCACGTTCCATACTTCCATGCGATTACCTGGTCGCGTATATTAGGAGTCAATTATTTTATACATCTCAAAATTAATGTTCCAGCACATTAACAACTCTAACACAAGTATAACAAAGGCCACCTTATGTAGAGAGATCGGAATCTATTCAGTCGGCATTGATCCCTTGTGTGACTCGACTTTATCGATGATTCCGAACTTCATTGCCTCGTATGCGCTCATGAAGCGATCGCGGTCCAAAGTTTCTTGGATTACCTGCACAATACAACTAAAAATAGGAAAAACAAATTAAAGCGTGCCAAAGCATGTCCCGTTACCTCGTAAGTTTGCCCAGTATGATGCACATATATTTCTTGTGTGCGCTTTTTCAAACGTTGAATTTCCTCTGCACGAATGACAATGTCAGAGCATGTACCCTGTAATTACGCAGAAATTTGCCATCTGAATCGGTATTTCTAAAAAGATAAATGTGTTTCAAAGAATGAAATTATCTATCCTAACAGTCCGGTCTAATTATTTATGCTGAACAGAGACTGCGCTTATAGCCTCGCGATACCAGCGACCCTAGGATCGCAAGTTGTAGGCAATCACACGATCGATAGTATCGCACTACACTTGAACTGCAAAGAATGATTTGACCCTAACGCACGACTAAGTGACCGTACATCCCCAACGACCGTTGGGATGACGTGCTGTGATCGCGCCTGAGAGATACGGAATGGCTAAGAAACGCGTTCGCGTTTTTATTACTCCAAGTTTGGGCATACCATAGGACAAGTTAATGTCTGAAGTTGTACCCAAGAGCATCCGTTGTCTTTATCTAGGATTACGAGCGTCAAGGAAGGCCAATGTTGCTTTTGTTCTATGATCAAATTTCCTACTTTCTCGCCGAAAAATTCTATTAACTATTTGGTTTCTTAGGCTCAGGTTCAGACATTAAATTTCCTATGGTATGCCCAAACTTGGAGTAATAAAAGCTCTGTAAGAAGTCCGACCTAAGCCACTTATAAATTTCTGCTTGGAACTGTCCGAAAAGGAAATCAAAAAAATCCAACAACTAAAAAAACAGTAACTTTTCGCTTCGACTCCCTTTTGCGTCGAGAAGGTAACGAAGGCTTGGACGTGTGATATCGACAAAACTACCTAATTCATCATACGTACTATCTTTCGCTTAAAGCATTGATAAAGCAGGCAAGAATTCTCACCAATTCTCTCTAGAACAAGAATTCGCTAGATTTTTGTTTTATCTCACAAAATGGTACCAAAGAAGATATAACCTTAAGAAAATAAATCTTAGAGCGGGCCTACACATCGCAACGACGCTATACATGCACAAAAAAATGGAAAAAAAGTCATTACAAACGTGTATAACCAACTTGTGCTCCTCCGCTAGGTTGATGAACCATTATTCGGGAATTTGGTAACGCTGTACGCATCCCCTTCTCGCCTGCACATAGAAGTAAGGAGCCCATACTGGAAGCCTTGAAATGGGCCGCATTTATATTTCCATAAAACGATGGCAGTAGAACAAAACCAACCTGACCAACACACCACGTGGCAACAGGAGGGGTGACCATTTGCATGGTGTCATAGATTGCAAGTCCCGCGGTAACGCTGCCACCTTAAATAAGCTTGGACCAACTGCAATGAGAACAAGTTTTCAAGTGTTTCTCTTTGAACCTGCGCACAGTTTCACAAGAATGCTGGGTTGTGAACAAAACTAGTCAAAATCTTGCGCACAGTTTTTCTAAAGAAAATTCTTCGAGCTTAAGGATTTCTGCCTCACTAACCTGGACTATTTATGTACATATGGATTGGCTTCTTGCTGCTGTCGCTCTGGAGGAACAGCAACTGGGCAATGATGGAAGATGCAACGAAGTCGTCCACATAAAAACTGTAAGTTATCTGGAGGTAAAACCAACCACGGAGAGCTCAGAAATAGTTCTCTTGCATAGCGTTGATTCCCCTAACATGCTCGAGTAACGTCACGATGGTATGCTGCAGAAATAAGGAACACATCCAACTTGTTCAAATGCGAGATACCGACACTCCCGAGAAAAAAGATGTATATAAGCAAGATTGCCTAACACTTACCTAATAAGCAGAGGAAGTCGACAAAATAAGTCACCACCATCTTCTAATGGTGGCCGATTCTCACCCACCTACTTGTAATGTATGTGTTGAGGCAATAAAGGAACTCACCGGCGTCATGACACATACAATGCGATCCCGCAGCAGTCGACTGTAAATGTCGTACGATCGCTCGCCTCGTCCCTCATTCTCAATCACAAACGGAATCGCAGACAGGGACGGAGTTGCAGTGAACTCACGACGTATTCCCACGACGCATTGCCTTAATCCCGGCAACAGACCTCGAAGCAGCATCTCACTGATGCCGAACTCTGATAAAAAAATTATGCTTCCCAACGAATAAAAAGACTCAAGGCAAGAAATATTAGGTTGGAAAGAAAGTTCTGCGACACTCTTTCTAAAATTTTCTTTTTTTTCTGAAAAATTCATAGGTAACATTTATGACTAACAAATGGTAGAGCATTCTCGAGGCTTTAATCCACGAGGTGGATATAAGTGCTGCAGTCAGTAGTTATCCAAGAAAATTCAAAAAACCTCGACCACTAGTAAATCCATACTCCGAGTCACTGTCTAGTACAAATGTCTCCATAACTATGGATTCGTGTCAAACTTCGACCAACACTATCTGCAATAGCTTCAATAGGCATGTCGTTCACCGCTACAGCGTGTTTCACCTTTACCAGCGCTTCCGATCTTTTGATATTTTTATAAGAAGCCAGCAGCGTCCCTCACACTCCATTACAGGTAGGGCTCTTACAGAAGCTCCACTACATACCCTTCGTTATGGGCACCATTGTGTAGGTAGAGGCCTAGGCTGTGGAATACCAGAAGCTGGCCGAGGCAGCTCGTCAAGAGCCCTCGTACCGCGACAATATTCATTTCTTTCATGACATTGCGAATCACCATGATCCGAAATGAGCCCGGTAAGAAATTCTGGAGTTGCGGCAAGATTTCTTTCCTCTCTTAGCGTAATCCCCTGGTCGAGCTGTAAATAAGTGCTACCTATCCTGGACCTTTAATCATCATCTTTATAACGAAATAATCAGACGATCAACTCCAACTCGAAAGTGAGGTTCTCCTTTCTCGACCCGCACTCCGCTGGGTTTTGGAAAAGGCGCATCGGGAAATTTTCTGAGCGCCGAAAGAAGGAACGCATCGTTTTGTACTCCTTCTGACTAGTAAAGGACGCCATTCGTTACGGGTCCCACTGCCTCCTGCTACAGTGAACCCTTCAATGTGGAGCGGGGAATCCGTGAGCCAGGGGCAGTGTCGCCAGTCTAGGGGGGTGGGGGGTGAGGGCAGTCACTTGACATGCGTGAGAAGCTGGAATGTTCGAATCCAACCGCGATCGCTTGGGATCCCCGCGGGTTAAGGCAGTGGGTCCCGCAACGAATGGCGCCCTATACTAGTCAGTAGGAGTACAAAATGATCACTCCGAAACAAGTGGTGGACACTCATGATAGATACATGACCCGGTCAGGAGTTGTAAACAAAAAAGATAGAATTAAAATCAAAAAATTGAAAAAGCGTTGCATGACTTGTTTCCAACCTAATAAAAAAATCGTTCCCACATATATATATGAAACAACCGAGTGCAGCAACTCGTAACGCCCAGGTTGTCACAAGAAGGTCCTGTGTGGTCACTCTCAAAGATCTTATGATATCATACCGACTTCTGGCGGTGGTGCGACGGGGAGGTTTTTGATGTCTTCAGGCTTAAACAAGCTCCCTTTCATGTGTAACTGCTTACGCCATTCTCACCCAACGCACGCATATTTAATTAGCCCCCAGATTGCGATATGCGTGGGAATGTGGGGTGTGCTCGTTCACCACCTCACTTTGTAAAGCACTACCGCCCTTGTCGCGCGATTTTGAGAATCAGCAACGGTATGTTTGTGATACCCGTGGACTACTCGATCCTACCCAAAAAGAAATTGTTCAATGTGTCCTCATCTGGGGTTGTTGCTTTAAGCATTAACACCACAGACCTACCTACTATTGAGTGAATCAAAACAGCTAATTGAAAACTGCCTGTGGCCTTTCCAAGGGAACACCACCACAGCAGCAGAAGCAGTAAAAAAAGACAATTGCAATTAAGCGCTGAGAACAGCTGAGGAACCGCGGACCTTTGATACCAAGTAAACAAAAGAGCAACTTCTGGATTAGTGAATTTTTATTTGAATGGATAACTTTATCAAAATACACATCGTTTTATTACAAATATATCATATTAATAATTCTTAGTGTTGGAATGAAGTGAATCACAGAAATACTACAGTTTCCTCTCGATTTCGAAGCGATAAGAAGTTTCAACTACATAGAATACCGGGGACAGAATGACTGAGGTAGCATCATTAACGGAAGTCGTCCGGGTTAAATAGGCCACGAGCTCGGTTAAGGATACTATCCTGAAATTATACGGTAGTCCAATATGCAATATTCCACGAAATGGGAAACGAAATGGGACAACATAGCAAAAAATGATGTCAAAAACTTGCCTTGCTTGGATCATAAGGAGCTTCCTTACTGGGAATCTCTAACACTGCTGGTATAGAAGCAGTGTGCTGGTCAACCTATAAAAACAAAACAGCATCCATATACACCAAAGCAAAAAAATAAGGCGGACTAGTTCTAAATGAAGGCACACTCTACGATCACTAGATTTAATTACCACGCTCGAAAATGAAAACCAAAATTGTCGTGTGGAGTAAACCAAAGTAACCACCACTATTGAGGTAGAACGTTTTAAATACAGTGATCGTTTGAATGAGAAAGCTAACCAAGGGAGCTTTCCTGGTCGGTCGTCTGATCTTAATGACTGTAAAGATCGCATTGCATTAGTACGTGCCAATCGCCCCACACCCCGATGGAATCGGATGATCGATACTTATCCAATACTATGCGATGGTTACGATCGGACGACCGACTATGGAAGCACCCTGAGAGATGAAGGAGCCTGATGGAAAAGAGAGACAGACACCAGCGCACTTACACGCTGGTTGAGCAGAGCCACATCAACG